ACATCAAGATTCTGCTTCTGAGAAAATGCTTTGAGTGAGGAGGAGCCAGAACAGGGAAGAGGCAGAACAGGGGGGCTGTCTTAGCTTTATGAGGGACAATTAGTGCTTCCTTGCTTCTCGTTTCCTGGAAGAACTGGGAGTGGGATGCAGCCCTGGGAAGGATGAGGAGATGGACTGTGGGAGGAAGCCCCAGGAAGGATGAGGAGATGGACTGTGAGAGGAAGCCCCGGGAAGGATGAGGAGATGGACTGTGGGAGGAAGCCCCAGGAAGGATGAGGAGATGGACTTAATGAACTGTGCCCATTGTTCTCATCCCTGGGTGGATATGGAATTCCTGCAGTGCTCTCTGCAGAGATGTTATAGAGGATGGATTCATTAGCTACTGCCAAAAAATGAACTGAAAGAAGCAGAGCCTGGCAGGCGAGCTGGAAGGGCTCCCAAAACAAGCTGCACGCTGCAAAGGCTCTAACTCAGGATACTTGGCTTCCAATGGTTTTGGAGCTGCAGATCCCACTGTCTTGGATGCCAGTGTGGGCCCTGGCATGAGACTTCCTGTGCTTTAATCCAGTCTCCTATGGGATGTGATTCTTAATCCCTTCACACCTCAGCGGCATCGTTTGTAAAGTGGGAACAGTGATTGAAGCTTTACCACAGATGACTGTGAGGACTGAGCCAGCCAATCATCTTGCACTCAGCATAATAGTCTAGTGGGCATAAATACTAGCTGTTAATATCACCACTATCATCATCTTCTTCATATTTCGAGTGATATCTTTAGACTCTGCTGTTTTTCCAGTCCCCCAGAATGAAGAAATGGTGGGAAGGTAAGGAACAATAATTCAGCAGGGATCACCAGGGAGCTGGGCAAACGCACGCTCGGGGTAGAAGCTCTCCACTTACTAAGCTATATGGGAGAGGGTGTAATGGAGAATCTTGAATGCAGACACATCTAGCATAGTGTAGCTGGAGAATTTCTCTCCAGCTCCCACCACCAAGTCCCTCCAGTCCCAGAACTCACTTATAAAATAAACACACAGACTCTTACATTATTTAAACTGCTTGGCCATTAGCTCAGGCCTATCATTGTCTAGCTCTCACTCTTATTCAGCCCATTTCTATTAATCTTTACTTTGTCACGTGGCTCGTGGCTTACCGGTACTTTACATCTTTCTTGTCTTGGCGGTGGCTCCAGCCCGTCTCCCTTTCCTTCCTCCTTCCTCAATTCTCCTCTCTCCTTGTCCCGCCTATACTTCCTGCCTGGTCACTGGCCAAGCAGTGCTTTATTTATATAGAGCGATATCCACAGCACTTCCCCTTTTTTTTCTTTTTCAAAAAGGAAGGTTTTAACTTTAACATAGTAATATTACATATAACAAAATAATTATCGAGTAAGAATTATAGTTACAATATAAAAGAAGATATCTATCTTATATTTGTGAGTTTAAGGTTTTATATCTAACTTATCTTTTATCATAACTAAGGAAAATTGTAAGTATCTAGTCTTTTCAAGATGGCGGGAGCCGGAGCCGGCGCCGGCACTCAGGAAGCCGGGGAGTGCCTCTTTCGCTGGTCTCGGGGCTAAGCTAGGGAGCTGAGACTGGACTAGCTGCTCCCTCTTTAGGGAATGGAACCGTGTAGGCGTTCCCTGGTTATATGGAACTTTGCAGGTGGGTTTAGGTACCCGCTAGCCGGGGAGGAGGCTGAGGGTAGGAGCCACCCAGGCCTTTGGAATTTGCCCCACGTGAGCGCCAGATATTGGTGAAATTATTAAGGCCACTCCATGTAGTTAAAAGGAGATTTATTTAATGGCGTAACTTACAAATTAAGGGATAGGTAGGTCGCGGGGTCTGGGGAAAGTGTATCGCAGTCCAGCGGTGTTCTCTGGAGCTCTGCTTGGGCCACCTCCACCATCCAGGGTCCTGCAACCGAGAGAGCGCTCTCCGATCCAGATCTCGGGTCCCCAGGCGCCTCCCTTGGCCCCGTCTTGTAGGCGTGACAGTTGCCGACGACGTCTCAATGGGGGTTGGAACTTCCCGATCCATGCTGGAATGGCTACCCACTACAGCATAGTTTGCTAAAGTGGATGTTGGAGTTTCCTTTGGAATACATCCAAGAGTTAGACTGAGCCCTTAGAGTAAGCACTGGATACAGGATGGAAAGCTGAGGGAACTGAGGAAGAGGGAAACATGCAGAAGGGACATTAGAAAGTGGTGGGAGTTTCCCATGGATGGAGAGGCAGAAGGTACAGTACTGTCTGGTCCAGGATATAGAGCAAGGCCCCCCAAACCCGGGGAAGGCCAGTGGGATGATAGAGCAAACATACATTCTGTACCATGCATTATTCTGTAAACGCACCCACAACCCTAGAGGCCACTGTTTCTCTGAATTCTCCTTGTACTTCTTTCTGGGAACCCAATAATAGCAAACCCAATATAACATTGACTATCTTCCCAGCTCCCTTCCAGGCACCTTTCACCTTCGTGACTGATGAGGCAGGCACTGTTATCCTGAGTTTGCTGATGGGATAGTGTAGGAGCAGTGATGTATGTTGCAGAACTTACAGCACAGGGCTGGACCAAGGGTAATGTGCCCAGGATCGTTGCTATGGTGACTGTGTAATGCAGGTCCTTAACTTCAGATTGTCTGAGTCTCTTTAAATGTCTGATGAAGCCGGGCGGCAGTGGTGCACGCCTTTAATCCCAGCACTCGGGAGGCAGAGCCAGGTGGATCTCTGTGAGTTCGAGGCCAACCTGGTCTACAGAGGGAGATCCAGGACAGGCACCAAAACTACAGGGAGAAACCCTGTCTTGAAAAAAGCAAATAAACAAACAAAATGTCTGATGACAGTGCTCACAAGGCATGGTAGCATTTGTCACAGTACCCCTGCATGGTTATGAAATCTCTTGTCCAGGCTTAGACTGTTTCTCTTTTCAAGTTCTTATAGTTTTTTTTTTTCTGCAAGACATGTCAGTTTTAAATAGTCCCCTTTATCCAGTTATCATCCCCCAAGTTCACTTGTACCCCTTCTTTGCTTTGCTCAAGTTTTTTGTTTTTTGTTTTTTTTTACTTTCAAGTAGCTCTTTTTACTTTCTATTTTCTATGCTACATAGTTCTGTCAGTTCCTTTAAGACCTGGATTCCTGCCCTCCCCTCCCCTCCCCTCTTCTCTCCTCTCCTCTTCTTTTCTCTCTTTTTTTTTTTTTCCGAGACAGGGTTTCTCTGTGTAGCTTTGCGCCTTTCCTGGAACTCACTTTGTAGACCAGGCTGGCCTCGAACTCACAGAGATCCGCCTGGCTCTGCCTCCCGAGTGCTGGGATTAAAGGTGTGCGCCACCACCGCCCGGCTTCTTTTCTCTTTTTTCCTCTTCTTCTTATCCTTTCTCTCTTTCCCACTATCCCTCTCTCAGTTCTTAGAGACAAAAATCTTACCGTGTAGCTCAAATTGGCCTTAGTTTCAATTCTGACACTAGCCCCAAATGCTAGGATTACAAGTGCACCACCATGTCCAGCTTTAAATTCTTTTTTTCATAGAATATCCCCATGTCATTCTGTTTCAGAGATTTTATAATATTTAAAAATTCCATCATAGCAGCCCAAGAAATGACTCAGTGGATAAAGGCTCTTGCCACCAAACTCAATGACCTGAGTTCAATCCCTGGGACCTACATGGTGGGAAGAGAGAACTGACCCTTGAAAATTGTACTTTGACCTCTACACATGATACTGCACAAGCACACACACCTTATCTGCCCACACAAATAAATACACGTAACAAAACTCTTTAAAAAATAATATTGTCTTAGTAAAAGTTCTGTTGCTGTGATGAGACATCATGGCCAAGGCAACTCACATAAAATAAAATGTTTAATTGGGGCTGGCTTACAGTTCAGAGGTTTAGGCCATTATCATCATTGAACTGAGCATGATGGTATGCAGGCAGACATGGTGCTGGAGAGTAGCTGAGAGTTCTACATCCAATACATAGGCAGCAGGGAGAGAGAGACACTGGGCTTGACTTGAGCTTCTGAAACCTCAAAGCCCACCCCCAGTGACACACTTCCTCCGATAAGGCCACAACCTACTCCAACGAGGCCATACCCCCTAATATTTTCAAATATGCCACTCCCTATGAACCAATGGGGACCATTTTCATTCAAACTACCACAGATATATTTATTATTATTTTTAATTTTATAATTTGTTATATATTAAGTCATTAATTTATCACTACACCTATACTTTTTGAATGTTACTGGGTGATAGGATGATGAGTGAAACCCACCTGCAGAAACCTTAACATCTGTTACAGGAAAAAGACACAAAATAAGTCATCATTACTCTGAAATGTGCTTTCTGACAGGAGTGTGTTAAATTGAGTGGAAGGACTGGCAGGTCTCTTTGGAGCAGCAAGGACAACTTTCATAGTGAGAATTTAGGTCAGTCACCTGTCTGGGTACTGAAAAATGATGAGTGGTTTCTTAGGTGAAATATAGGGATAGAACAATGTTGAAGAACATTCTAGCTCAGGAGAATGGCAGTCACAATCTGTGAGATGGATCAGAAGGTAAAGATGTTTGCTATTAAACCTTATAACTTGAGTTCAACCCACAGGACTTGTATGGTGCAACTTCCATGAAATATCCTCTGACCCCTACTCCTGTGACATAGTCAAATGTGCATTCACATGCACACCCATACATGCATACACATATACAAAATCAAACCTTAATTTAAAAGTTTTAGAAAAGAATGTGCAGATGCATTGGCCTGACATTCCATGCCTGGTAGCAGCATGAGACCTAGTATTGAATAAAACACTCATTCATGTCTTCTATTCAGTTGTCATGTATTTGTACCATGCTCTCGCCAGTGACAAGTGTCCTTAACATAGCAGACATTAAGTTTAATTCCTGAGACTGGTCCTGGTAGTTGGTTTTTTAGTCAGGGAACACGTGGACTAATGGGCTCACATGTGACTGAGTTGGGTTTTGTCTTTATCTAGACCAGGGAAGCCCTCGTCACAATTCTCAATGACCTCCGACCCCAGGATCATTTCAATATCATTGGGTTTTCCAACCAGATTAAAGTGTGGAAGGACCACCTGCTACCGGTGACTCCTGATAACATCAGGAATGGCAAGCTCTACATTTACCACCTGTCACCCACTGGAGGTAAGAGGGATTTCTTCCAGCCTTTCTACCCAGCTTTGACAAGATCATAGGTTCATTTTCTGTAAAGGAACAAGGTTTTGAGAGTTGAAGCTAATACTAACAAAGGAAGCAGTGATAACAATATCCCCAGGTGCCTGGATTTCTTCAAGTTTGTAAATTCTCAATCCCTAGACCTTAGTCAAGTTATAATTGAAAAATCCATCCACAATTTGGATTCTACACAAGGAAGCTGGTTTTGGTAAATTGTTCTTGGTTGGAGAATTTTTTTTAGGTTTATTTTTATCTACTTGTATGTGTGTGTTTCTGTAAATCGATGACACCTATGTATGAGTGCCGGTGGAAATGGGAAGAGGGCATCAGATCCTCCCCCCCTGGAGCTGGCCAGGTAGTTGTGAACCACATGGTGTGAGTCCTGGGAACTGAACTTGGCTCTGGTGAAAGAACAGGAAGTGACCTTAACTGCTGAGACATCTATCCCTAGGACGGAGAATTGAAGCCAAGTGCGTGATCCAGTGTTTTTTATGAACTCAAGCAGTGGCAGATGGAACTGCCCTATAAAACAAGCTATGGTCTTGCCTGAGCTGCAGCATGGTGAGAGCTCAAATCTCAGATACTCTGGGCTGTGCTGTGGATGAGGAGCGGAAGGAGGAGAGGGCTGCTCTCCAAGTCACTGCATGCATATCTTGAGTGCTGTGCCTGGTGTGTGTGCAGGAGGTCAGGACAGGGGCATGAAGACAGCAAAGCTTTCTAAGACTGCAGAACCAGGCACTCCACTGCCCATTGTCCTGTGTGTGATCCCTTTCTTTAAAAGAAAAACACCTTAAACTTGTTATTATTGGGGGGAGGGGGGTGTTAGCATATATGTAACATGGTGGTCACACAGCAGTAAGCAGATGCCTTTGCAGAACTGATTCTCTCCTTCAGCCTTTATGGAGGCTCCAGGAACTGAACTCAGGTTGTCAGGCTAGGACAACAAATGCCTTTACTTGACGAGCCTTCTCACCAGCCCCCATCTGACCCTCTCTCAGAGGCAGATATGCTGTCTTGTGGAGTTCTCACATCTGTTCATCCTTCTTCCAGTATCTGGAAACACTATGCAAAGTGCTCAGGTCAGCCTTCCCCCATCTGAAGATTTCCATTTCCTGATGTTCATCATTTTCTATCCAGTTATTGGAAGTGTTTTATCACTGGGCAGGGGGAATAAAATGTTAGATTTAATATCATAGTTCTTATCTATGGCAAGAAATTGACCAGCTGTGAATCCTTCCTCTTTGTGACCCCTAAGTCCTAGCATGCTTCTTAACACATGATGCATGCTTAGTGATTATCTGCTAATTTAACTTATGCTAGTGATGTTGCTTACTATTGGAATAGTGTATATTACAGAGAGGCAATAAACATCTTTAGAAAGTATCTATTATGTATTATGTTTATTTGAAACCCAAACCTAAGAATCCCTCTTTGTTCTCTCTCTCTCTCTCCCTTTCCTCTCTCTCTCTCTCTCTCTCTCTCTCTCTCTCTCTCTCTCTCTCACTCTCTCATATGTATTTGTATATAACTGTAGGAATTGATGTGTACCACATGTGTGCAGATGCCAGTGTAGGCCAGAGGAGGGCAGTGTTCCCTGGAACAGTTGTGAGCTACCTGATAAGGTGCTGAGATCTGCTCTGGTCCTCTGCAAGAGCAGTCAGAACTCTTAACCACTAAGCTATCTCTCCTTCATTTTCTCTTGACACTTCTTTGCCCAGCCCTTTGCTGGAGAACATTAGAGGAGTCTGCATTCTCTAGGAAATGTTCTTTCAAGTCTGGAGCAAAGCTTCAGCAGCTTGATTTCCTGGAATTGAATCCAGCTCCACCACCTCTTAGCCATTTGCCTCTTTCATTGTCATAAAATGAAAGGGTGGTAATAAGCTGGCTATCGGAGTGAAATAGTAAAACTACTCCAAGTGTGTGGGAGAGCCCTAGCAGATGAGGGGGCTGTTCTCCTTAAGGTATCAGAGTGAAATAGTTCAACTATCCCAAGTGCATGGGAGGGCCCTAACAGATGAGGGGGCTGTTCTCCTTAAGATATCACAGTGAAAGAGTTCAACTATCCCAAGTGTGTGGAAGGGCCCTAGCAGATGAGGGGGCTGTTCACTTTAAGTGTCAGATGTGGTCTTTATTTTTATCCAACTGAGAAGTCCCCTATCTGGTCCCTGGGCATCCAGTGAGCTCTCAGAGGAATGCTTGGCCAGCTGTGGAGGATTCTTGATTGTGGAGAGGACCCAATGCTGGTGACTGGACAGGAGATGCCCGGCCTCAGCAGAGCCTTGCTTCTAAGCCCTGAGAGGCTTTGGTGCATGCATGTGGCCATGAAAACTAGATCTACATTTTTTCTCCTAGCTCTCCTTGGTTTTAGAGTAGAGGAAGAGATTCTGCACTGTCGGTGCAGGTGAAAGACAGTGTAGACGCTTGCTACTTGTCCACGCCCACATCCACAGAGGAAGAATGAAATTGGACATGATAAAAGAAAGAAGGCAAATTAATGACTCAAAGAAATGCTAGGTCCCATTTCAACGGCTCCTTTCCCATCTGTCTGGTCTCTGTGCATTTTAACAAGACTTATGGATGTATCTGTCCAGAGCATGGGCTGGCTACTTTCCTTCTTTTATTTATTTTCTCTTTTGAGACAGTCTCACTCTGTAGCCCAGGATGGCCTCAAACTCTCAGCAGTCCTGCCTCAGCTTCCTGAATGCTGGAAATGCATCACTATGTCCAGCTTCGTGTGTGTGTGTGTGTGTGTGTGTGTGTGTGTGTGTGTGTGTGTGTGTGCACGCATGCATATACACGTGTGTGTACCTTCTCAGTCCCAGGAGAAGGTTTTTACATTGGTGTAATTTCAAGTCACTTGCATATAGTTAGCAAACACTTGTCAGATTTCTAGATAGGCCTGAAAGTCACCAGGAAAATGCAGCTGACTGCATCTAAGTGCTGCCCAGACCCTGCATGGCTGAAGGCTAGCTGCAGCTGTGACGGTGCATTCAGAGGTAGACGGTGAATGCAAAGCCATAAGCGGTTCTGTGTTGCTGTTCTACAGGTACAGACATCAATGGGGCCCTTCAGACAGCCATCAAACTGCTCAACAATTATGTGACCCAGAACGACATTGAAGATCGGAGTGTGTCACTCATCATCTTCCTCACGGATGGAAAACCCACCTTCGGGGAGACCAGTACCCATAAGATTCTCAGCAATACCAAGGAAGCCACTGGAGGTCAGATCTGCATCTTCACCATTGGCATCGGCAATGACGTGGACTTCAAACTGTTAGAGAAACTTTCACTGGAGAACTGTGGTCTTACACGGCGCGTTCAGGAGGAGGAGAAGGCTGGAGCACGGCTCATCGGGTCTGTTTCTGTCTTCTCACAACCAGAGGCCGGGGCAGGGGCTGAGGGTAGATGCAGAATAATCCAGAACCTAGGATAGCTTTGGCTGGGCCTTTTCCTCACATCCGCTGAAAATGAAGACAGCGTATGGCATTGAGGAATATTAGTGTGCTTTATTCTTATTTTTAAAAATTATTTATTTTGTAGCACTGGTCTTTGAACCTTGGGTCTTGTGTGTGCTAAGTAAATGATTCACCCATCAGCCCTTCTGTTATTTTGATTTGAGATGTTGGTCTTGCTAAATCCTTCAGATGGCCTTGAACTTGTGATCCTCCTGTCTCAGCCCCTACAGTAGCTGGGGATTACCTGGGTGTACCACCATGTCTGCCTCCTAATGTGCTTAGAAACCAGTCAGATTTGAGTTTAATATGTGACCTTAGATAGGCTTTATGACTGCCCATGCCTCAGTTTGCCCTTCTGCAAAATGAGGCTTATAACTGATGGCAGCTTAATAGGAAAACTTAAGTAAAGTTTTGGCACAGGGAATATTGCACATTAGTGATCATGTAGGGCTATAGTTGACATCCTGATAGTTTGAATAAATGGTGGAATGATAGTATTACAATTTGAAGCAAAATGATCAGTTAAAACTGATGAAAACTCAAAACATTTTTTTTGTGGGAAAAAAACTGGCAGAAAAAATCTAGAACTTAGGTTCTCTAAGACAGAATCACCATGTCTCAGATACCATGTTGCTGATCATGGTGTATGGTTTTGTTGTTGATCGAATCGAATGCTGTCTCCCGGTTCAACACAATGAAATTCAATCTGCATTGTGCAAATATAGGATCTATTTCAAAGGAAAAGTCTGCTTTATCTAGATTTTGGTAGCCACAATCAAAGAAATTTGTGAATCATATGCTTGACTGAAAGCCACTAAGATATGCAATCAAAACACTGGGACCAAGTGGCTGTGGGATGCTGGTGGGAGAGATTCGTCCCGACCTTGGGGCTGAGCAGGACTGGAGAAGCTTCTGGCTACAATAACATGTATTCACTTTTAAGAAACAAATTCTAAGTAGACCTTGGAGAAGCTCAGGTGTGTAGGAAGGGAATTTATCAAGTGTTTTGAGGAATTTGGAAGTTGTACCACAGAAAGAATGTTTCAAGGAACTAAGGGTTGATTTAGGCAGTGGGAGATTTCGATTCATTCCAAAGAGGCTGCTGTCCCCTTCCTTTGTAGACCTGGAAACTTTGTGAAACGGCGAGAGCTCACCCAAGTTACTGCTCTACTATCTGCTATCAAAATACTGCACTTAAGTGTAGTGCAGGAGGCGAGCATGCGCAGAGTCCGACCCACGCCCTCTGAGAGTCTTATTTCCGTTCGCACTGACTGCCCGTAGCCCAGCCAGGCTCTGATTCTCTCTGTCCTCCCTCCCTAGGTTCTATGATGAAATCCGGACCCCACTTCTCTCTGATATTCGCATAGATTATCCTCCTGACGTAGTAGAGCACGCCACCAAAACTCTGTTTCCCAACTACTTCAATGGCTCTGAGATCGTCATTGCCGGGAAGATGGTAGACAGGAAATTTGATCAGTTCCACGTGGAGGTCACTGCCAGCAACAGTAAGAAATTTGTCATCCTGAAAAAAGACATCCCCGTGGAGTCCCAGAAGCTGGGAAATGATGTCACGGTCACCCCTGGGCCTGCCAGTGATGGTGAGGAGGACCCCAACCACATTGAGCGTCTTTGGAGCTACCTCACTGTGAAGGAACTGCTGAGCTCCTGGGTGCAGAGCAGCAGTGAGCAAGAGAAGGAGCAGCTGAGACAGAAGGCCCAGGCTTTAGCCTTGAACTACCACTTCCTCACCCCCTTCACGTCCATGAAGCTGAAGAAGCCAGGGCTCCACCCAGACAGGCTGGAGGACACCCGCGGCATGTCTGCAGCCACGGGACCCGAGACAGTGGTACAGAGCCTGCGAGGAGGAGCCGACGTGCAGCCAGGTAGCACAGCCTCAGGGGTGGCCTGTGTGTGAGTGGGAATCCCTTGTAAGGCCAAGGGAACCTCAGCAGAAGTCTGTTTCTTTTCTCAGACCGCAGTTGTTATAAACAGTGACCTTACATGAAGTGCACGGTCACCAGATGCCCTCTCAAATGCCTATACTCGTTATAAACTGCAGCTCACAGAACCGTGTAAAGAATGGCAGGAGGCTGAGAAATGTTGCCTGCTGAAGTCAGCACATCTGACTGAGACAGAAGGACAGTGAGTTCTAGCTCAGCTTGGGCTATGTAGTAAGACCCTGACTGAACAAAATAGAATCAATATATATGTACCAACGTGTGGACTCCTGAAAATTTCTGGTTTATACACCAGCCACTTTGATGCCCGTTGACAGTCCTTAGAGACGGGGGGAGTTTAAACCAAAGCACAGGGCTGCATCATCCCTACCACCAACATGTGGAAAGTGGCCTGGTTGTTTCCTGTGTAGATTTTTATTGTTCTTGTCAAATTTCCATCTCCTAGAGAGGAGACAGACGTTAACCAGGCCCTCCCAGAATCCCACAAATTCTGGCTAATTTATTTCTCACATTAAACTCTGACAAGCGCGTGCAGTGGCAGAGAGAACACGAAGTTTCGATCAATGGACCCTCCCGAGCAGCTGTGAAGTCTGGGACACATTTATGGGCCTCCCCAAGAGTACAGTTGCTTGCTTATAAGTGGGGATAATAATACGTTCCATGAAGGTCCATTGCCAGGAATAACTATTCAGCCAATGTCCTTTGGCATACAACGAGTGTTCTATTACTATTCGCTGTCTCTGTCTCCCATGGGGTGTGTAGTCATGGAAATATAGTGAGGATTGCAGGCCCTTATGTGCAAGCCTCTTCCCATCTCAGGTGGAGTTTCTGCTGGCAAAGTTAGTGATACTTCATTCTGATTTATTTATTTAAAATGTTATTACATTTGATTTATTTATTGGATGTGTGTGCTCCTGGGGAGGAGGGTGCATGGAACACACGTAGAGGTCTGAGGGCGCCATGAGGGAGTTGGGGTTTTTCCCTCCACCATCCAGGCTTGCCTGGAATTTGTGATCTTTGGCTTTTTGATTCTTACAGTTATTACAAATATATCTGAAGCCTGTTGCAGGCTTCTCATCTCCCCCTGCTGCTCTCTGTGCCTCTCCACACATCTTTAACAAATAACAACTATTCTTCCCTGTGTCCTTTCCAGGACCTGCTCTCAAGAAACCATATGGGCCAAGAATTAAAATCTCTAAAACATCAGGTAAGTAAGTGTATAATTGAGAGCGAGGGATTTTTCAAATTCTCTGAAGCCAGTAAAAACAGGAGCTCCCAGAACATGTCCCATGTCCTGTTTTATTCAGCAGCACAAGGCACATGAGCCAGAACCATCACAAACCATTTTATAAGCACCATGGAGATGACCCAGTCTGGTAGGAGTGCCCGTAGATTAGATGGAGAGCGGAGGTTCACTTTGCTCATTGCTGTGTTTAAAGGACACTGGGTTTTAGCGAGCTGAATTGTCCATCTAGCCTCTACTATCCCAAAGATAAAAGTGGTGTTACAAAAAGATGTCTGGCTGTATAGGCAGAATTTTTCTTTTTTTAATTTTTGCTGTTTTTGAATCCTTGGCTTTGAAGGGAAGCACAGACTGAAGATGTAGTAAGTATTCCTTTTGGCAGCGTCTTCTAACAATGTAATATAGTAAGAATCTGGATGGAAGAACGTCCAAGTTTTATTCTCCCAACGTCCACATCTTCCCTTGTACGTTTTTGTTCTTGCCTTTCTGCTGATGAGCTAGACGTGTGTGATCACACAGCCAGGGACATCCCTGTGAACAGCTGTGGGGATAGAAGCACGTAGTGTCCCATAGAGAGGATGCACTTTCTAACGTGCGTCTGTGTTGTGGAATGCAAGCAAACCTTTCCCTTGGACGGGCCTGTGGTGATGATTGCTGGACTCCGCCACACACTTTTGGAACAGGATTTCAGTGGAAATTATGTTTTCAGTGCAGTAGAAACCGCCAAAGGTCAGGCAAGCTGTGTCCATACACACCTGTGCCACAGATGGCGAGAAACTTTGTCTCCTTTGGGTAAACTGTTTCCATCATCAAGACAGATACCTTGTATCCCCCCTCTATATGTTTTTATGTGGTGGGTAAACAAGTGTGTCTGTCAGAGGATAATCTCCAGCTTCATTTCTCAGGCACCTTGGAGAAAGGATCGACTCTTGGCTCAGAACTTCAAGTAGGGAGAGGAGCTGGCATCAAGCTCACAGGGATCTGCCTGTCTCACTATCATTGAAGATAGTGATGAAGAAGCACAGGCTACCACACCTGGCATTTCCACGCTTTCTGGGGCTTGAACGGAGGCCCCTAGGCTTGGGAGGCAGCTGCCTTTACTAATCCAGCCTCTCCCCATCCTCACTTTCTATTTCTTTATGGTGCCATTCACACAGTGGCTCGAGGCACTTCACAGTGGGAGCTGCCGGATTCTCTCAAAGACTTTTCTGAGAGCTAGTACTGAAGGAAAGGAGCTTCAGCAGTCACAGGGAGGAAATGAATTTCCTTACAACTTGAACAGACTGAACTCCTCCAGACCCACAGTTCCAACACACACACACACACACACACACACACACACACACACACACACACACACACACACACACACACAGAGAGAGAGAGAGAGAGAGAGAGACAGAGACAGAGACAGAGACAGAGAGAGAGCAGAGAAAGAGAGAGAAGTGCTACCAATTACATTGTTTTAGATATAAGTCAGGGAGGAACTGAATCTCCTGTGTAATAAGAGAAGATGGTGGGTGCTGACTCTCAGGAGGATCTGCTGAGGAAGAGGTAATACTGCTTATTTTTAGCAGAGATGGAAACTGGAAGAAGAGAAAGAATAGGGCTGAGGTTTATAGTCCCATCTGTGTGACCCGAAAGGGGGACTTCCACCATCACTACTGACTGTACTTCTTGGCCTTCCAGTGGCTTTTATGCTGTACCTGTCACTGCCTGAACTTGGGCTCTACTGTGAGTGAGCTCACACTGTCTGCTTATGAGATTGTGTAGCGGGAGTGGCCAACCTGTTGACATTGTGACATGGTGCTGTAATCTACAAAATTTACATTCTAGAACCTGCAAGTGGGTTACAGAAAGGGGAAAAATCCACAGTGAGGCTGAGCATTAGTGGGTAAGAGCATTTGCTGCACAAGCCTGAGGACCTGAGTTTGAATCCCAGCAGCTGTGTCAAAATCCAGATGTGGCCACACTCATACCTGTAAGTCCAGTGCCATGAGGACAGAAACAGGAGAATTTGGGGACATTGCTATCTAGCAGGCTGCCTCTAGATTTAGTGAATAAGGCAGAGTGCTAGAAAGGAATACCCCATGCCTTCCTTTGGCCTCCACACATGTGCACAGACACAAACAGTTGTGCCATGTGTGAGAATACATACTCCCACACATACACATACGTATACTCACTCAAAAAAATTACATTTTGATAGGTAAGTTTAAACTTTGTGTTGGGCCACTTCATACCTATCCTCAGGACGGGGGTTGGGCACACCAGACTTCCTTGGCGAAGGATTATTTTCCATGGAACTCTTGATATAGACAAGAAAGGATCTTCATTCTTACATTCTTTTAAGATTCATTTATTCTTGTTTTATGAATCTGAGTGCTTTACCTGCATGAATGTCTGTGTACCACTTGTATGTGGTGCCCACAGAGACCAGGGGAGCATGTCTGATTCCCTGGAACAGAAGTTGCAAGTGGTTGTGAGCCTGCGCGTTGTTGCTGGGAACTGACCTGGGTCCTCCACAGAACAGCCAGTGCTCTTGGTCACTGAGCCAGCTCTCCAGTTCTAGGGATTCATTCTTTGTTGAGACAGTTAAGGGACAAAGAAAATGATATTCATGTCCACATGGGAAGTCGAACGTAATAGTAGTTGAAAATGTGTAGAAGATCTCCCTTCTCTTTTCCTATCATCTCACCTCTCAAAGCTTAGTTGTCTGAGTATGATGGAAATGCCACTACATCTGAATTTGGGAGACCAGACGTCAGTGTGCCCTCACTATGTGCAAAATGGGTGACTTTGGGGCATCGTTACACTTCTGTATACTTTCCTCATGTAGAATTGAGAACACTATTCACTGTTCTTTCAGCGTTATGATTAAAGAAATGATCCATCTGATAACGTAAAGTGATGTTTAGCCAATAAACATTTTCTTCTTTTTCTCTTGCTCCTGATAGTGGATGGTGATCCCCATTTTGTTGTGGATTTCCCCTTAAGCAAACTCACTGTCTGCTTTAACATTGATGGAGAGCCTGGGGACATCCTACGGTTGGTCTCTGATCACCTGGACTCTGGTAAGTTCTATCTTCCCTTGTGGTACTCATACAAGGCCCAGGGATAGGGTATTTCGATCTCTGTGATGAACATGAATGGCCACTTATAGAAGGGAGGCATCCTGGATGCTCAGCAGGTACTGATGATGATTGGTAAAGGAACTATACAAAGTTTCTGGACATGGAATCAGACCCTTACTTTATACCCCCAGTGTGGCCTTGGGCATGCACCACAGCAGCTGTAATGCTCATTCTGTGAAATGGAGGTTGTAATACCCTGCTTGCCTCATGGACTATTACAAGTAGATTCAACTGAATCCTGAATAGGAACACTCAAGTGCTGTAGAAATTTATCATATCATACTGTCATTATGTCTTTCCATTCAGAAACTGTGGTGGTAAGGAGGTCATAGTCCCTGGAGACTTATGTGGAAACCACAAACATTAAACACAAAGCTCATGAATATATGTGAATGGAGCTTTGGCTACCTTAGGTCTATAGAGAGATGAAGTAAAATAAATTAGCATAGAAAATGCTTTTCGAGTACAGTAAAGGCAATATTGCTTGGGGACAGCCATGTGGACAGCCACACAGCCCAGCACAGTGAGGACTAGATTTGGCATGCACCTTCTAGTATTGCTAGGTACTGAGCAGTAAGTGTCTTGGCAAGTCAGGTTATAAACACACAGGTGGCGTTTGTGATATAATTACGTGAACTTTGGTCCCTGATCTCCTTTATCAGATGGTTTTCCTGCAGGCTGTCCTCACTTCATTTTAGTTGCTGTGCTAAAACACCCTGACCAAAGTAACCTAGGAAGAAAGGGCTCATTTTGTCTCATAATTCCAGGTCGTAGTTTATTACTGTGAGGAAGTAAAAGAGTCAGGAACTTAAAGAAACTAGTCATATCACACCCACAGTCAAGAACAGAAAGAAATTCTCCACTCCTATACAGTTCAGGATCCCCTGACTAGGGAATGGTGCTGCCCACAGTAGACTGGGTCTTCCTACATCAGTCAACCTATGACAACATCCAGCAGACAAGCCCCCAAACCAACCCAATGTAGACAATCTGTCCTTGAGAATCTCTTCCTGGCTGATTCCAGGTTGTATCAAGTTGACAAGGCTTTTTATCACATAGACCTTTCTAGCCTCAATATTAAATATTAAATTTCTAATATTTTTCATTTGAAAGGCAGCTGGCATTGAGTCAGTGACCTAACCATATCCCTCTCTGGAGACACTCCCTCTTTAGAGCTTGATAAGGTTTGAATGTGTAACATCCTTCATGTTTTCGATGCTTTGTCTTCAGATGATGGCACTGTTTGGGGGAGGCTATAGAACTCTTAGGAGATAGGGTTTACTTGGAAGAAGTGGGTCCTTGGGGAGGGACACATATATTTTGCCTGGCTACTTGCTATTATACTATCTGCTTCCTGGTTCCCACCCCCATTAAGACTCTCTGCCCACAGTCCCACTACCATGAATAGGGCCGCATCACCATGCCTTCTGTACCACAATGAACCGAAATCCGCTGAATCCATGAACCAAAACAAACCATTACTCTATTTCAGTCAGAAATTTGGTTGTAGTAACAAAAAGAGCTCCTTTGTGGTTTCTGTATTCACAGTGGTGTCTAAGACATGAAATCAGTTTGTAGGTGTTACAGCTTTGAGGCCCAAGATCAGGGTGTCTGTTCAGCCTGAGATTTTTCACACTTTGGCTGCATCAAAGAGAATTTTCTCCTTGAGTATCTAAGAAGTTTCCAAGTTTTATTGAAGATTATCTCAAAGCAAATAAAATGAGAATTAATTAAGTGCCAGCCTTTTACTAGTGAAAATTACCTCTTTTCCTGAAATCAAAGCATACAGCATGCATCAAAGTCATTTCCAAATACCCCATGTACAACCGCATCTGTTAATTGTTCAGTGGTACATCACTGGGCTTGGAATCTAGCTCCCAGGTCTCACAGAGGTCGGAAAGCTGCAGTTGTGCTTATGATGTAGTGAACAGAGAGGGAGTTGTATTCAATGGAAGTTGATGGCTTTTACATACGCCTCTTTCTGGGACACCCCTCCCAATTCTCTTAGGTTTTATATTCCTCCCATAATTTATAGGCAAGGAATTTATCCAAGGGTAAATACATATTAGGTAGACGAAAATGGCCTTCTGAAATAAAAAGGAATTTGAACTTCAAATCCTGCTCATGGACATCAAATGATCTCAAACTTAGGATTATTGACAGCTGATGGACACAGTGCCTATCAGAACCACACCAGTAGACACCAGAATGTGTCTTTTCACAAGAGTGAAAGCACATGAAGATATTAATAACTTTCTATGATAGTTTGACCCAAACCTACACCGTCCGTCCTATATTCCTTTATTTAGACATGGAAGGAAACTCATGCATGGCTTTCGCCCATTCACTCCCTCAGTCAGCAGCCACTGAGTGGCCCGTAGGTCTAGTTCAGACAACAGTCTTGGTGATAAATACAAAGATAAGGAAGGTGGAAGGACATTTATTAGATCCTGTCTGTGGTTTTCTGTATCCATGACAAAATGTGTGACAGCAAAACTTTAAGGGAGAAGAATTGATTTGGGGTCCTGGCTTCAGAGTTCATACCTTGGCTCCATCAACTCTAAACCCATGGTGAGGCAAAGAATCATGGAAGGCTGGGAAGGAAAGGGGTGGGGCTCAGATCATCTCTGACAGGAAGTAGAGAGTCAGAGAAACAGTAGCGTGATACAAGATACTCCCAAGGATTCATCTCCCAAGTGACCTGCTCCCTCCAGCCAGCGCCTACCTCCTAACTTTCAATACCTCTTAAAATAGGCCCACCGTGTGAGAAAGTGGCCCTCTTTGCATGTGCCTTTGGAGAGGCAGTTCAAACCCAATCCGTAACAGATGCCTGTAGCTGGAAAATGGACATGGCTTTTCTAACCACTGTTTTCTTCTTGACCTTTGAGGGGTGACCGTGAACGGAGAGCTTATTGGGGCCCCAGCACCTCCAAATGGTCATAAGAAACAGCGCACCTACTTCCGGACCATCACCATCCTCATCAACCGGCCAGAGAGATCTTACCTCGAGATCACACCCACCAGGGTCATCCTGGATGGCGGAGACAGGCTGGTCCTCCCCTGCAACCAGAGTGTGGTGGTGGGGAGTCGGGGACTGGAGGTGTCGGTGTCTGCCAATGCCAACGTCACTGTCACCATCCAGGGTACCATTACCTTCGTCATCCTCATTCACCTGTACAAAAAGCCAGCACCCTTCCAGCGAAACCACCTGGGCTTCTATATTGCCAACAGCAAAGGCCTCTCCAGCAATTGCCACGGCCTGTTAGGTAGGTGGCTGCCCATGCTCAGTCTGTGGTCAGAGGGTAGAACTGGGTTTCCTAAAAGGAAGTTCTTGTGGCCAGTGTCATGAGCTTGACAGAAATTACAGTGGGAGTGTGTTCAGTTATCCTTCAGCATCTGCTGGGGCTGTAGTTCCAAGATCTCTCAAGAGCACTAAAGCCTAAGGATGCTCAAAGTCCCCTGTCTAAAATGTGGCCTTTGCATAAAACCTACTCACATCTCCCCTCTGTTTTAAATAACTTCTGGATCCCTTACCGTACCCAAAGCACTGTTTGTGCTATCTACGCAAGTAGTTGTTGTCCTGCAGCGTTTATGGACCAATGACAAGAAGGAAGTCCATATGTTCAGGATCAGCACACGTTCCCCATGTGTTTTCAATCTGCGGTTGACAAAGATGCCAGAACTTCACGTGCAGAAAGCCCGACTTCAAATAGCTTGTGAAAATTAGATTACTTTTTTGGTATGTGTGTGTTCATGTATGTGTGGGCTATATGCGCATGTGGGGATCAGAGGACAAGCTTGGGTATTGTTCCTCAGATGCCCTCCACTTTTTGTTTGAGGCAGGGACTCTCATCAGCCTAGAACTTCTGTGTAGATACAGACTAGCTGGCCCATGATATTCTAGGGATTCTCTTGTCTCCACCTGACACCTAGCCATCTCTGGAATTCTAAACATGCCACCATGCCCAACTTTATTTTTTTTTTAAAAGATTTATTTATTATGTACACAGAAGAGTGTGCCAGATCTCATTACAGATGGTTGTGAGCCACCATGTGGTTGCTGGGAATTGAACTCAGGACCTCTGGAAGAGCAGTCAGTGCTCTTAACCTCTGAGCCATCTCTCCAGCCCTGTGCCCAACTTTATAATGAGTTCCAGAGGCAAAAGTAAGGTCCTCGCCCTTGCGAAGCCAGAACTGGACTGACTGAGCCATCTCTCCAGCCCTGAAAATGGTATTTCTGGTCTCAGGATGGGTCTTACACACTAGTTCTCACTAGACTTCTGAGAACCCAAAGAAATGAGGAGCAGTCATCCAAAGAGCTAGTTTCTTGCCAGTCTGCAAGAAGCAGCGGATCCAGGGCGGCCAGCAATGAGCACGAGAGGTGGATGCCTTTCCTGGGAGTCATCTGTATTGCTGTGAGCCGAAGGCAGGCCACGCTGGCTGGTCGTCTTGACGGTGCAATCTCACGTGGGCCCTTTGCCCAAAAACAATGACTGAGTCATTTTCAGAGCTTCGTTTAGAAAGCAGGATTTCCTGGCACTTGAGCTTGGTGCGTTTCATTGTGTTTGGCTGCCAGGCATAAGCTCTGTCTCACAGATGCAGATCCATGTTCCCTTGGCCTGAGCAATGCCCTCACTTGACCTGGGACGTTCTGAGGCTGAGTGTCAGGGGTGAATTGAGCTGACTTCTTCCACTGTTCTACCCCAGTGCATAACAATGAGTGGGTGCTTTGAGGAGGATCTGTTACCAAGGAGAGGAAAGGCACGACTCTATGTCCTACACATCTGCTACCATGCTGTCCTCCCAGTTAAGCCGAGATCTCGCTAACTCCATTTGTTGTCTCAGCATTAGCAACTGAGTAGTTTCCAGGGAGGCAGACCATGATGAGAATCTCTTCAATGAATGTCTCCAGGGAGGGCCTAGCCTAGGACAACGGTCCATGAAAAACCCTCCTGCCCCTGACACCACCAACGCTGTTGTCTGCATTCAACTTACATCAGTTTTTTTTCCTTCCTTCTCTCAGGTCAGTTCCTGAACCAGGATGCCAAACTCATCGAGGACCCTCCTGCAGTAAACGGCAAGAATCTTAGTAATCAGCCGTTTCCTCAGACAGAAGGGGTACCCGAGGCTATCATAAAGGTGAAAGGGCGCCGAGTTCCAGTGGTCTGGAAACAAAGGAAGATTTATAATGGGCAAGAGCAGGTGGACTGCTGGTTTGATAGAAACAATGCCGCCAAGCTGATTGACGGGGTGTATAAGGACTACCTGGCATCTCATCCATTTGACACGGAGAATACACTGGGCCTGAGGATGTCCAGGAGAGCTGAGACTGGCAGTCTTCCTGAGAAGACTAACAGGGAAGCAACTGCGGGTCTACTCTGAATGCAGCTCTTCTTGTTACCTGTGCCTACCTTGGCTCTTGCTGTGAGCTGCACTGTGTAGCCTGCCCCCTGGTGGAGTGGAGGTCCAATGTCTGCTAGAGCAATGAGTCAGGGCAGGAAGCTGGATTGAAAATACTGCGTTCTTCTTCCCGTTCCCACCTTCCGCATCCCATCTCTACTAGACAAAAATGGTAGCACCAAGAGGAGAGGAGATCTAACTAAGGAAAATTGTGCGGCACCTGGCTTGACCACCCCTTAGTCTACTGTAAAGTAACCCTCTCTGACAAAGCAAGGTTGCCATGGAATTTGTTTTCTCTGTAACAGTGTCCGAGTGTGGGCACTCTGCTTTTTGTCTTTTATTCATGCTTAGGAATCTCTCTTTTCAGTTGCCTTCTTCATTCAGATGGTGCTCTTAACTTCTTCTCTCAAGGTTATTTACATCGGGGCCAGGCCACCCATCCTGCAAAGCAGTAGTCCACACATTGGATCACTTTAAATGACTAAGTCTTTTCTTAGCATTTTTCTGCTCTGGAATCTTGCCTTTAAAAATTAGTTTTCGCCGGGCGGTGGTGGCGCACGCCTTTAATCCCAGCACTCGGGAGGCAGAGCCAGGCGGATCTCTGTGAGTTCGAGGCCAGCCTGGACTACCAAGTGAGTTCCAGGAAAGGCGCAAAGCTACACAGAGAAACCCTGTCTCAAAAGAAAAAAAAAATAGTTTTCATTGTAAAAATTTGGTTGAAAAATAGAAAAATTAATATCCCAGATACGGATCTCTTTCTGATTGGCTTTACAGGCCACTTGACCTTGCTGGTGGGTGTTTTATTTCAATATGCTAAGTGCTTTTAATAAATAGGAAAACTCCCTGTGGATGGTCTTTACTGGCCTGTCTTGGTGCTAGAGAGCCAGCTAGTTGAAAGCTAAATCTTTTACTCAGAGCGCTTCGGCTTTTGCTGTTAGTCCAACACCTTCTGGTTTTGCCTTTGGATGTCCAGGAAATAGTAAATTACATGAGAACAGTGCTGGCATAAGAGAGAGACCTAGCCTAGAGTGAGCTGCTCAGCCTACCTGTGGGAAGAACCAACTTTTACATTCTCAGAAGGAAGTGGATTCATGCCTGCACACATGGCTGATACACCATCAGGCTGCAGCATTGGCAGCCTGCGGAAGACAGGGCCCACCAGTATTCCTTCCATGATAGGGGAGGGGTCATGAAGCCCCGCTCCTGCCTAAAGAGCTATGGGAAGTTAGTAATTGCCTAAGAAAGGGGTGTCGTGTTCCTCGGTTGTAATATCTGCTGGTACGTTGCCCTGGCTCAAGAAAATAACCCCCAATTTACAGCAAGCAACCCTAATTGAATACAGTAAATCACATACACATTAGAGACAGGAAAGTGGGAGGGGACTCATGGGGCTGAAGGAAGCCATAGGAGAAGATCGTGGGAGGTTGTGGAGTGGGAACAAAGAACACTAGTTAGGGATATGCCTGAAATTGTGAATGAATGCACTAAATAAAAGAAAATCTAAGAAGACATTTCCACATCTCAGATGGGCACAGGCTATGAGGTCAGTGTGAGTTTTAGTTGTAGTACTTAGATGAATCTATCCCCCTAAGGAAAAGGTTACCATCAGAGGAGGCTTCAAAAGATTAGCAAGTGTGACTTCATTGTGACTCTCTCCATCAAGCCTATCCATCTCATCCAAGAGCAAGGAAGACGCGGGAGAGCCTGGAGCCTCATTCTTACACTCTGTGACATTCTTCACAGTGCTTGGGCTTCTCAGGTCTGGCGTGTGAGGGGCCTGCATGGAAACAGGTAAACAGGAAGTGATGGCAACGAACTACGGAGAAAGGGAAACAACCATGCTTGAGGGAAATGGAGTGAAAGGCTTCTTTGCTGTCCCCACATAAGGTTTCTTCCATCAGGCACCAGGCCAAAGCGACCTCTGCGGTGAAACGGCAAGGCTGCTTGGCACTTGGAGAAAAATTGGCATCAAGAAAATTGTTTTCCTTCCTGTGGGAAGCATTTGAGCAGCACAATGACATCCACATGTTCCTGTCTGACCCAGCAGCCTCAAGAGCCAGCTAGGGCTGCGTGAGTCTTTTTCTCTGTGAACCCACCAGGCCACAGCCGGTCAGCTGTGCTATTTATCTGACTCCCCATGTTCCCAGACTCATCTGTCCGTTTTCAGGCCAGGAGTGCAAAGATGAGCAACCCATATGGCTGCCAGATGTTTCCATCTTTTCAGGCTTAGAGAAAGAGAGGATCTCAGCCAGGCCTAACCAATGCTGGTCCCATGCGTGTTCCAGAGACCTTCCTATTACATAAATCCCAGCTGGAGAGACAACTCTGGAGCCGTGGGTGGAGGGTGAGGGTGGAGGATGGGGGGGTGGAGTGAGAGGGAGAGGGGCAGCCCACCAGCCCTCTGGGTTACACTCAGAGCTACGATATGGGTATGTTGTTCTCGATGTTGGCTTCACCGCCAACAGAAGGATATCATTAGGTGAGAGCAGTTTCTACTGTTTTCTGTTGTCGAAGAGCAGACGAGCACAAGAGATACCAGTGAGATACCCATTACTCACTCTCCTTTCTAGCAAAGAAATCAATTTAAAAGGTGACAGATTTTTCTTAACTTTGGACAGATATTCCACAGCAGTGTTCTCTCTCTCTCTCTCTCTCTCTCTCTCTCTCTCTCTCTCTCTCTCTCTCTCTCTCTCTCTCTCTCTCTCTGCAAAAAGCATGTACTATTCAGTGATCTAAATTATCCGATATAGTTTGAAGTTCTACCTGGCACCCCAAACCACATACCAACAGGAAAGTTTTCGTTTGACTGGGTGTGTGTGTTGTGGGTAGAAACATCAAGGACCTGCAAAGGAAAGGACTGTGTTTTCAAAAGGGGAAACAGAGGCAGCTGAGGCACTTCCTTCAAGTTATATAGAAGACATAAAGCAGGGGTAGCGCTGAACCTGCAGAGTTCACGTGTTAGGTTTGATGGTTTTTCACCGTCTGGTTAATCATTATTTTCCTTGAACATTTTGTAAAAGATAAAGTGGGAGGTTACTAAATAAGCAGTCGACTGGGCTGGAGAAAAATGTTGAAGTTAAATGAGATAAATCAAGTTGTTATTGCAGTAGCTAGTGCTGGTGAGTCAGTGAACTGAAATGTTGAACAAAGTCACGCTCTGGCTTCCAGTCCCCCCCCCCCTTTTTGTGAAGAAAGGCGTAGAAATGGGTCATTTTAAAGAATCTTCGCATTAAAATTTTATATGAAATGATCTGAATGCCCCCTCTCTACCCTTGCCATGGAGGTTGAGGATGTTCGGCAGGATGAAATATCATGACATCCCTTGTGGGCCCAAAAGCCACCCTGAAGATGCAGAAAGCTGGGAATTGGGAACAACAGCTCATGGTTATTATCAGAAGTCATAGTCAATATTTACCTGGAACTCGGGAGGCAGAGGCAGGCAGATCTCTGAGTTAGAGGCCAGCCTGGTCTACATAGTGAGTTCTAGGATAGCTGGGGCTATGTAGAAACCCTGTCTCAAAAACTTTGTGTGTGTGTGTGTGTGTGTGTGTGTGTGTATGTGTGTGTGTGTTTTAACCTGAACTGTGTGTCCTCACAGATGGATAAGAGCAGGGTTCTTTCTTTGGATAATGAATGCTGTGGATTGAAAGCATCCTTCCAAAATCCACATGCTTAAGTATAAACCCCTGCTGTGATGGTCAATACAGGTGGAATATTTCAGAAGTGATCATCTCCTGAGAATAAAGGCCTTATGATTGGTTTAGAGTGTTCTTGAGTACATACATACACAGGAGGACCTGGTGGGAGAGAGGGGTTGGATGGGATGGAAATGATGTAAATACAGTACTCACGTATGACATTCTCAAAAAATTTTCGTTAAAAATAAAGTTAAAAATAAAGGGACTCAGTTGGTAAAGTGGTCACCTTGCAAGCACAAGAAACTGAGTTCAATCACCAGAACTCAAAAAAAGTAGGCATGGGATGCCCACTCTCGATCCCAGTACTGGGGAGGCTGAGACAGGCAGCTCCCTGAGGCTTGCTGGCCAGTCAGTCTCGTGGTCTTGGTGAATTCTGAGCCAGTGAGAGAATCTGCTTGAAAAGAAAAAGAAGATGGCATCTGCGGAATAGAAACAAGGGTTGTCTTCTGTCTTCCACATGTGAAGCACCTACACATAAGAACACACACACACAAAAGACAGAAGAGGCATGAAGTTACTTCTCCTTTTATATAAAAATATAACACAAGGGTAGCCATGCAGAAGCCAGGAACCACACCAGATACCAAATCTGTGCCTTGATCCAGATCTTCTCACTCTCCAAACCTGTACACAATAAATGCCTTCTGTTTAAACCACCCAATTTATAGCATTCTTCATATAGCAGCCCAGGCTCACAAAGACAATAAAGCATCCAAACTACACGTTTTCACCTTTATTCAGGCTACCTAGAATGCACAAAAGCAATGCTGTTGTTAAAAATCTGAAAGACTCCTGGAAGCATAAGGACGTGATCCAGCTAAAATAAACAGCAATTACAATAACACAGCTAACCAAATACTTAGAGATGCAATGTTAAATATTTATTTTAGCCCGTTTTAAATAAGTAGGGTACAGATTGTTCACATCTCAAGAGACTTTGTTTCTTAAAAGCTTGTAAGAAAATGATGTCTAAAAACAAACAGCATCGTATGTTTATTTTTTAAGGGAAAATGGAATCAGGGCTACTGAGAATAAAACTTGATAATTCTAAGCGCACTGCTTGTTTGTAGAAATTTCTGCACTACAGTCCTGAACCTAAGTATTCTTGTGTCAATGATGAGCCATATATATGACAGTGGTCCTGTAAAATTATAGTAGAGTTGAAAATTCTATTGCTCAGTATTGTTACTGTATTTTTAATCTCTAGATGTGTTCATATGCACAAATATTTACCACTGTGTTATAGTTGCTGAAAGGATTTATAGTCACAACTATACATGTTTGTATTCCAGAAGCATTAAGTTATGCCATGTAGCATTGGTGAATAATAAATAATGCCATCTAGGTTTTGGTGTGTATATTATATGATGTTAACACAGAAGAGTCACCTTCCAACACATTTCTCAGAGTGCATCTCATCATTAATGGCATGCAATTATATCTGCAATAAGTCGATAGAGTGGAGACATTGGAAGAATAATGTAGAGAACAGAAAATTTACAGAAGCTATCCCTATGATCTTTCATCTTATTTTTATTCATGTGCATGTGTGTCTCTGTGTGTATGTACAAGCATATATGTGCAGAGGCCAGCAGAGGCCCAAAGAGAGTATTGGATCCTGTGGAGCTGGGGTCCAGAAAGTTGTGAGCAGACCAATGTGGGTGTTGGGGACTGAACTGGGGTTCTCTGAAAGAGCAGCAAGTTCCCTTAACTGGTGAGTCACTTCTCCAATCCTCCCTGTGTTCACATAAACCTGTTAAATACCCGAGAGGGTCCAACTCTTCGGACAAGCTGGACTTCTGTCACCTTCTTATTGGGTCGGTCAATTGCACACACTTTGCCCATCATCATGCTTGGTGCTTCTTCCAAGCACGGAATTTCTTCCCATGGACACTGTTGTGGTTTGAATATGCAAGTCCCCATCCCGCACTGGCTCATGTGTCTGAACACTTGGACTCCAGATGGTGTCGCTGTTTGGGAAGGTTACAGAATCTTTAGGAGCTGGAGGTTGCTGGAGGAGGTCCCTGGAGTCAGGCTCTGAGGTTTAGGTGCTCAGTCCCTCTTCCTGTTTCTGCTTCCTGTGTTAGATTGGGAGTGATCAGCCAGCTTCTGTTCCTGCGCCAAGCTTTCCTTGCTTGGTGTCATGCATTCCCCACCAGGATGGATTCTATCCCTCTGGAATTGGGAGCCAACATAAACGTTTTCCCCCCAACTTATTTCACTCAGGGTTCTTCTAGCTTCTGGCTCTGGCACCTTTGCCTCCAGTTCTGAGTGGTCCAGCCCAATAGGATTTAGATCTCATTGAACTATGCTAAATTCTGAACAAGGCAACACTTGGTTAGGATGAAAATCAACGCAGAACACAAGAGTGACACCATCCACTGGCTGTGTCAAGGAGAAAACAAGTGACTGATATCAAGTTGATGTCTCTGGGCTTCAACTTCTGCAGTTATAAAATGAAGGGACTGGGTTAGATAAGCTCACAGATCCTCTGTTCTTTATCTAAAAAAATAAAAAAAGACGTGTGTGTGTGTGTGTGTGTGTGTGTGTGTGTGTGTGTGTGTGTGTGTGTGTGTGTACATGCACAGTGTGGTGCATGTGTACCATGGTATCCTAGTTTCTTTATTTTTCTACTGTGATAAACAGCACGACCTTAAACAACTCGAGGAAGAAAGGTTTCATTTCATCTTACAGCTGACAGTAAATCATGGAAGGAAGACAGAGCAGAAGTTCAAGCAGGAACCAAGAGGCAGGAACTGAAGTTAAGGCCATGGACAAATGTTCCTTACTGGCTTGCTGCCATAACCAATTGCTCACCTTCATTTTTAATATGACCCAGGACCACCTGCCCAGTTGTGGGTGGGCTGGGCCCTCCCACAGCATTATTAATCAAGAAAATCCCTCCCCTGGACTTGCTTAGAGGTCAATCTGTTGGAGGCAATTTTTAGATGGAGGTTCTCTCTTCCCTTATGACTCCACTTTGTATCAAGCTGCCAAACAAATGAACAAAAACCTAACCCAAATTCATGGTGTGCACAGGGAGTCAATTCCCTCCTTCTACTTTATTTCTGAGGTGGGATCTCTGTTCATTTCTGGCTGTGAACTTCAGACTAGCTAGCTGTAGAGCTTCCAGCAGATTCTCCTGTTTCCACTTCCTACCTCACGGTAGGAGTGTTGAGATTACAGATGTGTGCCACTGTATTTGGCTTTCTCACATGTGCTCTGGGGATCAAACTCACCTCCTAGTCGTCTCCCCGGTCCTGCTCTTTGTCTTTTGCCTTGGGTTTCCTTTCCCTGACTCTTTCTCCTTTCAATGCTGGGGGCTGAACTCGGGGTGCTGTATGTGCTGGGCAAGCCCTCTACAGCTGACGGCTGATGGCCGACATCATCTTCTGCCTCCAGAGGAGGAGTCTTCCTGAGCGGTTCAGTGGTAAGTAGTACAGTCTCATTCACTGGCCCTGATACATTCGAGTGCCATTATGCCAGGCTCTGGGAATCACCAGAGAACCACGCTCCCACCTCAGCAGTCTTCAGCTCAGAGAACAGGACACACACAGAGCGCACAGGCTGAAGGACAACGTGAGCAATACTAGATGGCAACTTTGCTGAAGGCTGTTGTTTGAGCACAGAAGAGGGGCAGCTAGGAGAATCAGGACAGGGGCCCGCCAGGAAACTGGCCAAGGAATGGAGAATTAAGTCACAAGGAAGAGTGACATAGACAGATGTGCTAGGTTAAGATAGGCTTTCCAGGACAAATGGAATGATAGACAATTAAGAGCATCGTCCACTCCATACAGTTTGAAGTGTGACTATTTGGTGGTTTCTGTGAAGCCTCAATAGAGAATGCTTAATGGGATCCAACCCAGTGTCTGATAAATCACAATCCATGTCCACATCACACCTTCTGTTCCTGGGATTCAGAGAAAACCAAGAAGTCACAGAACTCCACAAGAGTTCTGGAAGTTTCCGATTTTCTGGTCAAGGGTCCACACACCTCCCATGACAGTTTTATTCTGACCCGAAACTCTTGTTCTGGTCACTCTCTCCCTCCTTTTACTTTGGCATCACAGTTGTCCTGGGGCTGCACTGGAACCTTACTCATTTCCGACCTCCTAGCCCATGGTTTACATCTCAGATTCAATCATCTGTCTTCCTCATGTCCATGGAACCAAATCCCTGACTTCACAGTTCATTCCCGGTGTCCAGCTCCAGCTGTGGGTATCACTAGCCCCATAAGCAGGATGTGGAATCTCTTCTTTCCCGTAGTGCTGGGTCTCTTATTTCATACCAATATCTCTCCTTGTCTTTCCTAGTCTCCTCTGATGAATTTCTTTCCTCTTCCGGACTGCACTTGCCCTGGGGCTCCTCCTGGGCCCCTTACCGCCCCCCTCCTTTAGTGCTCTGATCGACTTGTCTCTGCATAGTTGGCTCCTGAACTTATGCCTGCAGTGTGGACTTCAGACATGATTTCCCAGTAGTTCCTTTGTCTTTATCTCAAACTCAGGAACGGAAGCAAACTTTCCTTCTTCAAAGTGTCAGTAGTTTCATGGGGCTGCAGATCCAGGAACCTGAGTCAAAAGGAAGGAAAGTCCCAGAGTTATCCTTTGCTATTTTTGATGTTGCAATAAAGGTAGATATGCATATTTATGATCTGGGTACATTTCATAGGGAGCTGAATTCTCAGCTAATTGTATTATCTTACTTTTGAAAATTTTAACATTTTAATCTTTTAATTAGTTTACCAGGTATCAGATTTCCTTGAGGCTTTTTCATACAGCGTTAGTTTTGGCTGACTCTTCCTCCTACTGTTCCTCTCCCTAATCATTTTATTTTCTCCAAACAACAGCTGTGTTTGTGTGAGAGACAACCCAGTGTTCCGACAGCTTACTGGGAATTTCTGGTTATATAAGTTGAAAATCACACTTAAAGTTTATTGACATGGCCACAAAATAACTTTATTGAACTATGAGTATATACTTCATTTTGAAAACATTTTAATGTGATTTCAATTTTTTTTTTTCAAACTTACAAGAGCAATGCAGAAAATACAATATTCAGAAAAGCTTAGTGTAAATCAGTGGTTCTCAGCCTTCCGATTGCTGTGACCCTTGAATACACTCCCTCATGCTGTGGTGAGGCCCCCCAGCCATAAAATTACTTCATTGCTACTTAATAACTGTAATTTTGCTACTGCTATGAATTGTAATATAAATATATGTCATACAGGATATCTGGTATATAAACTGCCCTAAGAGGGTCTTGGCTCACAGGTTGAGAACCACTGGTGCATATGAAGGCCTGAATGGTAGATGTCTACTTGTTCATTCTATTAAATTTCCAACTGGAAGTCTGCCCTCATTTCTGTGACCTTTCGGGCATGGAGCTAAGATGAGCTCTAAATATGTTAAAATAAAGAAAGGAAAGATCAAACAGTGAAGTCTGGCTTCTCTGCTGTAGGTTCCTATGGAAAGCTACAAGAGAAAAACAAACCTCTCCACAGAAAGGCAAAAACAGTCCAAGACTCAATTCAAAAGTGAGGTGTCAAGCTAGGGAGGTGGCTTAGTTGGTAAGTGTTCGGCAAGTAAGTGTGAGGACCTGAGTTCAATCCCTAGAAAAGACTTTTAGGTGAGCCTCGTGAGCGAGCACTGGGTGAAAGTGAGAGACTTTGTCGCCAAAAACAAGGTGGAGGCTGATGAGAAAGACAGTCAAGGTTGACCTCTGACCTCTGTGTGTACATGTATACATATGGACACACACAATCAACATATAGGTGCACATACACATACATTTAAGGTAAATGCATTTTTTTTTAAACTTGAAGCCCAGGCATATTCTAGAAGCTGACTATTCCAGAATTTGTAAGCAATTACTTATCCTTTGAATTCTTCATCAGCCTGATTGGGACACTATAGTTACCTCCATGAGGACCTGTGGTGTTGAAGGAAACATAGAACAAAAGCTTGCACACTGTTCAATGACACTAGCATTCTGTTCTGTTCAAGCAATTTTCCCATCACAGAATGTGCCTCAAAACTGACATGTTTCCTCATCATTCATTCAAGAGGAATGTTTGGAGCATTGAGTGAGTGGAGGGTGCAAGCTGATCTTCTTATGTGGCTCAGAGATAAACTTAATTAGTTAGGGTAACAGGCAGCATTCTGATTTACAGAGCTTCAAAGAAATAGGGGGTTAAATAAGAATTTAAAGTAGGGAGATTGTTTATACCCTTAGGCAAAGAAGAACTGCCAATTCATCTATCACAGCGGTCCTCAGCCTTCCTAATGCTTTGACCCATTAATACAGTCCTGTATGTTGTGGTGACCCCCAGCCATAAAGTTACTTTG